TGAATCCTTAACCCAGGAGTTTATATGGTCCGGAGAAAAATTGGGCTGAAATATTCCAAGCTGGGTTTAAAATGACTTAGAGACTGAGATCAAAAATCAAATTCATAGAAGCACTTTTTTCTTTTGGGTACCAGGGATTGAACTCAGGGGCACTCGACCACTGAGCCACATCCCCAGCCCTATTTTGTATTTTATTTAGAGACAGGGTCTCACTGAGTTGCTTAGYGCCTTGCTTTTCCTGAGGCTGGCTTTGAACTTATGATCCTCCTGCCTCAGGCTCCTGAGCTGCTGGGATTACAGGTGTGCACCACCATGCTAGGCCACGGCTGCATTTTTTTAAAATTCTTTTTTCCTTTTCTTATTTTTCCAGTTGTCAATGGGCCTTTATTTTATTTATTTATATGCGATGCTGAGAAACAAACCCAGGGCCTCAAACGCGCTACGCAAGCGTTCTACCACTGAGCTGTAACAGCGGCATCTTGATCCAAGATGAACAATGATTTCAAAATAGATCTCATTTAGGAATAGTGAGGGAACAAAATTCTAGTTTTGACTTGCAAACTACCAGGAAACAAACTCCAAAAAAATATGGATATTTGTCTGTAAAATTGTATTTGAGTCCCAGTAACAGTGACTGGCACACAGTTGGCACTCAATTTTTGTTGAAATAATGAAAAGTCATGGATGGGAATTCTCATTTGCATACCCTTGAAATCCTTGAAATAAAGGGGGCAGAGCAATAAGTTTAAAAACCATTTAATGCTGAGTGAGGTGGTGCACACCCGAGGGAGGAGGAATATAAGTTTGAGGGCAAACTTAGCAAGACCCTGGCTGAAATAAAAAATAAAAAATAAAAAGAGCTGGGGTTGTAGGATAGCGGTAAAATGCCTCTGGGTTCAATTCCTAGTGTGGCACAGGGGTGGGGGTAGGGAAAAACATTAAGGTTGTTAAGATACTCCCTTTAACTCTCTCAACTCCATGGCCCAAACAAAAAACTAATTGTTACCAAAACATCAAGTGAGAAAGCAGTAAGATGTAAAATATTAGTGTGATTTTACAGAGTAGGCAGACAGAACAATGAGAAGACACTTTTGTATTATGTATAAGTTCTCTGCAGATAATCAAATTTCAGTGAGATGGAATCTAGAGTTTTAAGACTTCTAACTGCTCTCAACAGTGTATCCAATGACTGCTTTTGGAAAAGACAATGGTTATCTAATCTAAGTGCCCTAAAAAATATCAATAATTTCTTTATTATAGATGAGAAGTCACAGAATGAAAATCTCTAATTCATTAACTCAAAGAAATAACAGAGTATACTTACAAAAATCTTTATTTCTCTGATTTGACACTATGTTTCTAAGGGAAGGTGCAATGAAAATGCTGCAAAGGACAGTAAGAAACAACAACCACCTTTGGAAGACAGCAAGCCTCTTTACAGAAACACCTTTGTAAAAAGAATACAAACGGGTTCCATAGACTTTCCCTATTTTTCACAAGCTTTTCTAATATTTCTTCTTTGAAGAACCCATGAGTAACTGTCACTTATCACAAAACATCTTCTTCCAGATGTGTACTTTATATATTACTTTCTTCTTAACATTCAGTACTTCAAGCCACTCAAGTCTTTCAGCTGCAGCAATTTTTCTTCTTTCTATTCTACTGCATTTCTTCCATGGAAAATCATGAGAACCAATTTAATAAACTCCTTTGCTTTCTAAAGACATTTCCAAAAGGCAGTACTAGAGCATCTCAATCAATATTTTAACATCATTTTCTCTTTTTCATTTAGTTCTACAATGTTTCCACACTTCAACAATTCTGATTATTATAGTTTGTCAGGGTGACTATGTTTTCTTCTATATTACAATAATATAGAAGACAGTGAATGATTTCTAATGAATCAATACATACTAGGGGCAGTCTACACACCTCTAACCATCTTTTAGTAATAACAGACATTATTTTGCCCTGCCTTTTCAATCACTGCAGCAATTGTGTGGTCTTTCAAAAGATACTTGATTTTAGGGCCTCAGATGTATTTTTTTAAAAAAAATTTTTAAATTATATGGACACATTGCCTTTATTTATTTATCTTTATGTGGTGCTGAGGATTGAACCCAGTGCCTCATACATGCAAGACTAGCGCTCTATCATTGAGCCACAACCCCAGCCCTTCAGACCTATTTTTTAAAAATATTTATTTTTTAGTGGTAGGTGGACACACAATATCTTTACTTCATTTTTACTTGATGCTGAGGATGGAACCCAGTGCCTCACGAGTGCTAGGTGAGTGCTCTACCACTAAGCCACAACACCACAATAGTCCTTTCAGATCTATTTTTAAGAAACAAAGCTATATATATAGGAATTGAACTCAGGGCCTCCTGTGCTAAGCAAGTGCTCAATCAATGAGCTAAAACCCTATCCTTTACTATTTTTAGCTTAATTAATTTTTTTGTGGTACCGGGGATTAAACCCAAGGGTGTTCTAACACTAAGCTATTACATCTCCAGCACTCCACTTCCCTTTGAGATGGCATCTGCCTAAATTGATCAGGCTGGTCTCAAACTTGTAATCTTCCTTTCAGAGCATCCCAAGTAGCTGGGATTAAAGGTGTGTGCTACTTACTATACCTGGTATTCTGAGCCTATCAAACTGACTTTAAAAAAAGTCTGTGGGTTAAAATATTTTAATTTTCACATTTAATTTAAAACATTTTCTAACCAACTCCAAACMAAATAGCTTTTTTAAAAGAACTAGAATTCAAATAATTGCAATATTTGTGGTTACTGTGTAACAATCCCAAAGGAAAAAAAAACACATTGGCCTTATTATTTTAAAAATTCTTGAAAGGCATTACAGTTCTAGGTTTTCTTCACAGATGTCCTAAAATACCAAAGAAGTGCTGTGATTTCACAAAGCAAGCTCCAAAAAGACTGGTACCTTCCAGTACATACATCAAGTACTGGTACTTGACAAGAGAAGTCAAGGAATCAAAATTTTGAGTGTTCATTACCACCTCCTATATAGTTTATTATACACAATAGAGAATATAGGCAAATAGTCTTTTCTTATTCATCTTTTCATCTTTTATCTTTTGTGAGCCATTTTCTCCTTAAAAATGTAAGCTGAGGTCATGACCATTTCAACATGCTTTAAAATTGCAAAGAATAGGTATCATTTCTTAAATCAGTGCCAATTTTTTTTTAAATTACAAAGGGAAAACTGTATTAAAATACAACTTTCACAGCAGCTACATTTAAACTACATAGTTTTTTTTTTTTTTTGTACTGGGGATTGAACCCAGGGACACTTAGACACTCAGCCACATCCCCAGTCCTTTTAATATTTTATTTGGAGACAGGGTCTCACCAAGTTGTTTAGGGCCTCACTAAGTTGTTGAGACTGGCTTTGAACTTGTGATCCTTTTGCCTCAGTTTCCTGAGTCCTTGGGATTTCAGGAGAGTCATCACACTGGCTCAAAGAATTTTTAAGGCTGAGGAAGTTGTTCCAAGGCACAGGGCAAAACCTGTAGCCCCAAATCAACAGGTCTAAGAACGAAAGATACCAATTATGTCAATTTAAGTAACATCAAATTTGAGTACTTCAGTATACTTCCCCCCTGCTAAAATGAAAATGTCCTATACTGTGAGATATTCAGTTCTTTGGTAAACCTCCTTCAAGGAATATATACGGAGTTTCTGTTGCATGGTTATGGCAGAGAACACTGTATCTCACTCAGTCAAGGTTGAATTTGAGTAGGGAAGCAGGGGTGGGCAATGCATGAGTCACACAAAAGCTTATGTCCATCGGGTAACAGAATTTTAACAAGGGGTTTCGAATTCTTTGAAGAAACTTGTTGGGGAGGTAATTTTCCATCTTACAAGTGGAAACCAAACATAAAAATTCTGCCTGGAGGCTGATGATCAGCACAACTTGGTGTAATAACCTAACTTTGACATAACACACAATCCCAAAGCTCTAAAATAACACCTCCGCAAATAATACCAAGCACCACCTTTCCAGGCCCTCAGCAGCACGGGAAGTGGGTTGGACACCCCTAAACCACCATCCTACTCTCACAGGAAGTGTTATGTTCCCCCTCCCCCATGACAGCATTCCTCCCCTCCCCCAACCGGAAGTAAGGCGCCCCCATTCTGTTAACCTCAAAACAAGACAAACCAATAACAGCAGCAAAAGCGGGATGATCGTCAAGGGGCGAAGGACATCTCGACTGTGGCCACCCCCAAGCTCGCCTTGCTTACTGACCTGCTGATGATAGGGGCAGGCAGGGGCCTGGGGCCTAATGAAAGTCCCTTGCACAGAGGACAATTCCCTCAGCCCCTCTCAATCGCCTTCACTCTTCGCACTCCGTCGTTTCACAGCTTGACAGAAATTCCTCCGCAGCACTTTATTTTGTCATCCTTTATTTCTCTTTACCTAATCGCTTAAAAACCGCCTTATAGGTAACGTCTCCTAACGTGGTAACATTTAAAATTCCTCCGGTAAGGAGAAAAGTGAAATATTATTCCTGATACCTTCAGAAAAATGAAGGGATTATTTTGTCCCAGTGCGCCGAAAGCCTACGTAATTACGTAAGGTGAGACTCGCGGAGCTTCATGGGAAATGAAGTTTTTTTATTAATAGGTAGTGGGAATTAAACTGGTAATTACTGTGTACTGGAGTCCTTGAAATCACATAGTCTCTATTAGACGACTTGGTGAGCTAGGGGGATCCGACACCCCAATGGGTTAAAACTTCGTTGCCCTTTTTCTTTACCATTTAATTGAACCCAAATTTCCTGTCACGCGTCTCAAGGTCCCAGTCGTCCTGCCTTCTTTCTTTGGCCACACCTTCCTCAGCCAATCAGGCGCCCGGTACGTCTCGCCCTGGGAGGTTGGAACGCAGAGGGGCAGGGCCTCGAGGCGACTCCTCCCACGAGACTGAGGAGAGAATTGGGAGCGAGTTGGACCCGCGTGCGCGTGCGCGTGCGCGTGCTCGCTCCTCGAGGAGCGCAGCGGGCAAGGGTGCGCGCGGCGGGGTGGCGCGCGGGGCTGGGAGGAGCGGGCAGGCTGGTGGGCTGGTCGGGCGGCAAGCGGCCGGGAGCGCGCGGTGGACTCGGCGGCGGCGAGTAGTTAGTTAGTTGTTGTTAGTCAGTGTCAGTTGCTCGGAGGCGACGGTCGCGATCACCAGGAAGGGGACGGGACAGGCGGCAATGGTGGTCACCGCAGCGGCGTGTGCGACCCTCAGGTAACGGGGGCAGGGCTGCCCGTGTCCCCTCGGTTTCCTTCTCCTCACGCTCGGGTWGGTGGGGTCGGGGTCGCTGCGGGGTGAGGGTGCTGATCTGGGGGAATTCAGGCAGGGCGGCGCCGTGGGGGCTCCGGAGGCCGGTGCGTCCTGCCGGGCGCGGGCTCTCAAGACCCGGCCACCCCCGCGCCCCGCCGGCGCCGCGCGCCCCCTCGCGCCCCCCGCCGTCCCAGCCCCCTCCCTTAGCTGTGGCGGCGGCGGCCCCGGTAGCGCGGCGCCCCCCAGAGGAGGGAAAGTTGGGACCTGGTGACGGACGCCCCCGGGCGCGGCTGGGAAGCTGCCGGGAAAGTGAAGCCTGGAGGAGCTGGACTCGGTGAGGCTGGAGCAGGAAGAGCTTCTCTCGCTCCTGCGAAGTCTACACCATCATCCCGCTCCCAAACCCGGGAGGATCCGGCTTAGCCTCGCCAGCAGCGTCAGGACCTGGTGGCTTTCTGTCTGCTCACTTCACGCTGTAGCTGGTGAGCCCCTTTCATGAAGGCTTGCTGAGAGAGGGTTCAGTGGTTCGGTTGGTCAGTTTGTTTCTTCTTTGCCCTTTGACTCATTGGTTCATGCAACTTTTCTCCTTCAAAGAGGACTTGCTGTCTGAACCGCGTCCATCCCGTTTCCCTTTCCCTATTCTGTGCACCATCGGTCCGAGTGCTTGATTTTGTTTTTTCCTTCTTTGCCTCCTTTGACTAAAGACTGCTGACAGCAACAGGAGAGAGAGGCTCCCTCCCTTTAAATGTTACTTCTGCAATCCTTGTTTTGGGAGAACCAAGTTTAGGAAGCAGAGCTGTGGAATGGAGTTATTGGAAGACTGGCGTTGAAAGGATAGTGATGAGTTAGAGGAAAACTATGATTTCATCTTTATTGGCCTTACTATAGAAAACTGAATAGATTTTTCTTCTGCCTTTATTGAATGTGGCAAGATTATATGTTGAATTAAATACTCGGAGGCTTACATAAAAGTCTATTTTTAGGTCGTTGGGTTATGTACGTGAACAGCTTTTCACCTGAATTGGTATTGCTTTCAGGATTCTGTTTTGGGGCCTACCTACAGATTTTTGTTCAGCCACAGCATTCTTCTCCCCCCCCCCCCCCCCCMATAAACGAAGTGATGTAGTAATAGGTATAGCTCTCTGCAGTGTGAAAGTGAAAAAAATGTCAATTATCCACAAGGGTAAAACTTTCCAAGAGCAATCTTGGAAACTCATTTCATGATGGCTTCTACTTTAATCTCAGAGCATTTCTAGATTGCTCACTTCACTGACTACCCTAATTACTTGCCAGAGTGCTTGGCAATTCTTCTCTTTGGTGGCTCATTTAGTGAACTATAATGGCAGGTATGGTACATTTTCTTTTGGCTTCAAAGATGTAAGTTAATAGCTTCAGCACAGAGATTAACAGTTAATAATGGAAAGAGAACTCATACCATTGCTAGTTAGTTTTGGCTATGACCAATTCACAAACTATGTGAAAAAACAAACATCCCCTTCCCATAGATGTCAAAGGGGAAGAGGAGAAAATATTTTATCATGTCTTTGTTTTGGAGATTAACATGACTATAAAATGGTGGGGGAGAAATGTCAGATTATTTTCTTTAAAGCTTTTTGATGCATGGTCTTCCTCCTCCCAACTCCCCATTTAGGGGCTGACATTTATGTTTGGCTGGTTTCCAGGGTTGGAAGAGAAGTGTTTTGGTGAAAGGAAAAGATAAGATTGCTTTGAACTATTATGATACTATTACTATTCATTTTGCCCAGTGATAGTGCAGAGAAATTTCCAGGATGATGTTTGTACCCCATTAACATTCTGTCAGAATTCATTTTTAAGAGCCTAGCCTGAGGCCCATAAAGAAATAATACCACTTCATAACTGTTTCCTAACAATCACATTAAAAAGTGTGTTCCTGAAATGCATTATATGTGTAGTCATATAAACATTTATCTTTGTACATTTATGGTAATGTAAATATTTAAGTCTAAGAGCTTAAAAACTTTTATTTGCTTATTTGCATACATGCTTTTCAACATCTAGCAGTGCCAACCATATTTGCCAAATAAGCATCAGCCATAAATTCATGCTTTGGCACATTTCATATAATATAACTCTTCTAAATTGCTCCGTGGTGAAGCATCATGAGATTAGCATTTGCTTCATGAGAGAGATTTGTTGTTTTTAACTGTAATGATGTGCTGTTTAAATGGAACAGGTGTTGGGCTCTAGCTGTTTGTGTTGAAACCTGCCAAATCATAGTCTTTTGTTGGATGGGTTGCTAAACAATTTAGGAATCAAACTGTGGCCCCTGGCATGCTGACTGTGGGTTCAAGGCTCTATATCACTGTTGCAAATTCTTAGTTTCACTGTAAGAGGCAGGTGTGTGAGATGAGCTTTGTCATTTGCTGATTTCTTTAGTAGGATTCCTACTTGTTACACCCCATGCCCCAGTCCTTTTATTACTAGATCTCCTGGTAGGTTTTAGACTCCTTCCCTGCTGGTTGGTTTTCCTTGGAGAACTAGAAATTCTGTTAACTCCCAGGTTAGGAATATGTAGTTCTAATTTTCTGACAAATGTTTGAGTGCCTTTTAAGTTCAAGGCGTGGTGGTAGAACTCGAATATCCGTACAGTGTTATTTATTTATTTATTTCATTTGCAAGGAGCTTAGAGTTTGGGAGGAAAAGATAGCTGATAACCAATAATTACATTTTGGTGTGTTTTATATAGGTTCTCACGATTAGAAGCATGGAGGAGAGTAGCTGACAGACTTGGATTCTTGGTGGCCAGGGGATGTCCTGAAATTTAGAGGGTTATCTGAGCTGATCTTGAATAATGTATAAATTAATTAGCTTCAGAAAGAGGGAAAGTACATTGTACACCAGTGTTGTCATTTTTGAAATACAAGCACAAATATGTCACATGTATAATCTTAAAATTTCTAGTAATCATATTTTATTATTATTATTATTTTAGTTTTAGATGGACACAATACCTTTATTTTATTTGTTTTTATTTTTATGTGGTGCCGGGGATCGAAGCCAGTGCCTCATACATGCTAGGCAAGTGCTGTACCACTGAGCCACAGCCCCGCCCCTAGTAACCAAATTTTAAAAGGTAAAATTAAAATGAATTTTTACAATATAATTTAACTTGATATATCAAAACATTGTAATTTCAACATATAATCAAAATGGAACAGTGATAAAGACATATTTGGCATTCCCTTTTTCATACTACATCTTCAGAATCTGGTTTGTATTTTATACTTACAACACATTTCAGTTTGTATTAGCTATATTCATGTATTCATGTGAAAAGTACACCTTTAGAATGAGGCAAATGAAGTAATATGCCAAATCACTGTTTGGGAATCAGGTTTGAGTATTTTAACTTTACCTTGAAGGCTCTGAGGATTTAGTTAAAAAAAAAAAAAGAAAGAAAGAAAGAAAAGGAAGAAGAAAAAGAAAAGTCATGCTGGGGCTGGGGATGTGGCTCAAGCGGTAGCACGCTCGCCTGGCATGCGTGCGGCCTGGATTCGATCCTCAGCACCACATACAAACAAAGATGTTGTGTCCGCTGAGAACTAAAAAATAAATATTTAAAAAAAAATTCTCTCTCTCTCTCGCTTTCTCCCTCTCTCAGTCTCTCTTAAAAAAAAAAAAAAGAAAAGTCATGCTGTGAAACAATGAGATTTGTGTTTTACACTTGTCATTTTGGCATAGAAGTGAAAGCTAGATTAGAGAGGGGCAAAACTAGAAGACCAGTTAGAAAGCTGAGAGACGATGAGGGATGTGTGTCGGGGGTGGGGGGATAGATGAGAGATTCAGGAAGTATTATCAATGAGATAGGATGATTAATCAGATTATAGAATTGAGAAAAAGAAGATTTCAGAAGATTCCCACAATTATGTTGTGAACTGCTAGGTAGATGGGACCAGCAACTGAAAAGAAGCCAACCATCTATACCAGACAGACCAAAGATGAAAAAAGGAAACAGGGATTTGTCAGAAGCTGAGGGARGACTAAGACTGGTCAACACTCTATCCTCCTCTGAAAAGGACAAGTAAGATAAAGACTGAATAAAGTCTCTAAGACTTGGAGATTAAGATGTCTTAATGTAACTTCAGCTGGAGCAGTTAGCTACATTGTAATGGCATTGAGGAGGTTGAAGAGTGAATGACAGCTAAAAGTGTAGCTAATTGAGAGGGATACAGTGTTTTCAACAAAGGACTCCAAAGGGAAGTGTAAGGAGAGAGGGAGATGCGGGGGCTTTAGGGAAGTTTGATTTATTCATTTTGTTTCTTTTTAAATTTAAAGTAAGAGCATCTTGGGCATGCTTGCACATGGCTGCAAGGAACCAAAGGAGAGGAGAAATTGAAGGAAGGAGGGAGGAAGAGAGCAAGAGAGAGACAATGCACACCTGGGAGAAAATGAATGTATATATATGTGTGTGTGTGAGTGAGTGATGAGGGGTGGGTAGTGATTGATGGCAGTGATTTGGAAGCAGTAGGAGGGGATGAGATCTAGGGCATGGGTAGAGAAATTGACCTTGAGTGGGAGGTAGTCTTAGAAGCAGTGAGTTTGGGGTGGGGAGTGGAGAGGCAGATAGATACATGACTAGAAAACAGAAGAAGCTTTGAAGAACTATTTGAGGTTTTAGACCTTGTATTTGTAGTGATAGCAATTTGCATGGTGGTTTGACTTTCTCTAGCAGTAGTTAGTTATCTAAGTATATCTAACAAGAATTCTATATTGTTACTGTCCTTGTTTGTGAATTGAATCTCTGGGTTTCAAACCTTGGTGGACAATTCCAGACCCCAGGCTGGTATACAGTGCTTTGCAGATGTCTGTTTGGTAGAGATACCTGAGGGAGAATTAATAATATTTAGATTCTGACTCTAATGAAAGAACTGGAATCCAATTGGGTCATGAGCAGAATAGCTAGAAAAGGTGATCTGATTGGAAGA